CATGCTAAGAACAGAAAAGAGACAAAGAAATTGGGGGAAACGATGAGGGAAACGTGGATACGTACATCAATAGAAGATTTTTACTATTTGATTAAAAGAAATTCCAGAAAAGCCTCAAGAATAATAAATATTCAAAGATATATCAGAAAAATAAAGATACTAGTGTTTAGTCTAGTGGAGGCCAATGTACCAAAAAGAATGAGAAATATTATGTTTAGAATATAAACTATCAAAATAGTATGGAAGTAAAATACATTTTCTAACATGCTTAAAATGTATTTTTTTAAAACTTTTTAAAGTAGTAAGACGTTTACCTCATACCCATTTCTTGAATGTTGGGGGAAGGGAAGAATCCAAGAAAGAGGAAGTTACTAAAAGAAATAACTTCCCAGAATTTAGGAGGAACTCCAGTGCAATGGCTGTGCAAAGAGGTAGAAGGCAAACAGACCAACCAGGAGGAGGGGGTTAGAGTGCTTTCAAGAGAAGATGCCAGTTAATAGACAAAACTTACTAAGAATCTACTGATGAACTAAAACCATATTTTTGTTCTGTCACACAGGGGGAAAAAACTATTAGAAACTCTAAAAAAAAAAGAGTTAAGCTTCTGACAGATACAGACTAAAACATAGCAAGATTTTGGTCAAATTGTGGCATAAAAGGAAAAAAGTTTCTTTTACAAAACACACATAGCTAGTAACATAGAATTACATATTCTTTTTGTATAGATTCAATCATAAATTGGTTTAATACTGAGTAATATTTACACATTCAAAATACTTTACATATTATTGAAGGGAATTTCAAGTCTATAAATCAGCCACACATTAATTCTCAGTAGACTCAATAAAGCTACAAAACAGAATATCATCAAATTTTATAATGTAGATATATATTTAAGAGATTTAAAGATGGAATGAAAAAGTAACAGGGCACCAACTTCTTCATCTTAGAGAATAAGGAAGATTGTAACTCCTCTATACCTACTAAAGCACCCAGAAATACCTTCCTCATAATAATAAGATATGGTTTGAATTCGTAAATTAGCATCTGCATATTTGCTTTATTGCTTTAATCCATGGAAACTTGCAGATGAAAAACTAATGGATGGTAAAGGTAGTGATGTTGTTGTTGATTGCCATCGAGTCAAGCACGACTCGTAGTGACCCCATGAACAAAATACCTGGAGCCTTCCTATACCTATTCTCATTTCTCAAAGTTCATAGAGTTTCCAGAGGCACGTTGTTTAGGAAGTAGATGCCTTCTGCTAGGGAGGGTCATAACATAAGTCTTTTGATGTATCTCCTTCTGTGTGATTAAACTGCCTCTGGAAACCCGCTGGAGGGTGAGCTATGGGTCAACTCCAAATTGATGGTACTCAGTAACAACAATGATGTATCTAATTTCAAGGGCCCAAGGAAAGAGACTACCATGCTGAATATGGAAAAAGCCATTGTTACTTCTGTCAGAAGGAGAATGTTGAGGGAGATAGATCATTAGACTGATTTTAATATTACTACAAATATGTGTTTATTCATGGGATACTGGGGAGGGGTGTCTGGTGTTCCAACAGAAATAAATCTCCCAAACATTTTTAGAATATACCTTTACTATGGGATATAATTGCCATTTTATTTATAAGAAGATTGACATTACCCAAATGAAAAATATATAGCATATCAGTAGGGAAAAGGCCTAGGGAATGACCTACATTTCCCACTTCTGCTTCCTACCTTTTTGGACAGCCCAAGTAAGATAGCCGTTCTTCTGTCTAGAAATTAAAAAACTCATTTAATGTTCCACTACTATGTGACAGGAAAATATCAGGGTCTGAAAATACTGCCGTGACACAGTTATGCTAGGCATTGATGCAGCGCTACATGTACTTAGTAAAATGCAGTCATTACCTGTCTTTAAAGCTGGACTATATTAAGAAGAAAGTTGCATCAGGATTGGAGGAAGACTCATAAAAAACCTGTTATACAATGACAACTTCACTTGCAGAAACTGAAGAAGATATGAAGCAATCTTATTGAAGATCAAAGACTGCAGCCTTCCATATGAATTACATCTGAACGTTACGAAAACAATAATCTTCACCACATCATGATAGATGGAGAAAAGTTGTCATTGTCAATAACTTCATTTTACTTGGTTCTACAACCAACATCCATCGCAACACCGACCAAGAAATTTTTAAAAAGCATGCTGCATTGGGGAAATCTGCTGTCAAAGACTTCTTTCTCTAAAGTGTTACAGAACAAATATATCCATTTAAAAAACTAAGGTTTACCATGAGTAAAGCCCAAAACCATAAAGTTCATAAGAGAAAAGCTGGGAGCAAGAAAATACAGCCAGAAATGCACAATCTGAAGAGGAAAAAAGTGATAAATGGGACTTTCTAAAGATTAAATATCTGAAAAAGAAAGCCTACCAACTGAGAACAAACATTTGGCAATACCATCTCAAAGGTCTCATAACAAAAGTTTACAGAATACTCCTGGGCCTCTGGAAGAAAAACACTGATAACACAATTACAAAATGGGCAAAAGATATGGAAAGACTTTTCACAGAGGAAGACATTCAGGTGGCCAACAGACACATGAAAAAAATGCTCAAAATCACTGGCAATAAGAGAGATGCACAGCAAAACTGCAATTATGTTGGTGGAATTGTACAATGGTGCAACCACTCTGGCGCTTCCTCAGAAAGCTGAACATAGAAATTTCGTATGACCCAGCTATTTCATTGCTTGGGATATACCTCTAAAAAATGAGAACTGAGGCTCAAATGGAAATTTATACACAAATGTTCATAGCAGTATTATTCACCATTACAAGAACACAGAAACAGCCCAGATGTCCAACCACAAATGAATGGATTGAGAAGTTGTGGTACAATCACACAATGGAATACTACGCAGCATGCAGGAGAAATCATTTTGTAAATTACTACCTAACTTGGGAGGGACTGGAGAGCATTATGCTGAGTGAAGTAACAGTCCCACAAGGACAAATACTGTATAAAACCATTATTGTAGAATGAGTATGAGGATCCAAGGTGGGGGGGAGGGAGGAAATGGGTGAGGATGGGGAAAAGGTTGTTAATTATAGGTTTGCACAATTCAATGGGTGGGTGGATTGAAAGAAAAGGTACTTTTTGTGAAAAACAATGTATTCAAACTTTGTTAATAAATCAGAATAAATTTTTTTTTAAAAAAAAGAGGGAGGGAAAACTACAGTGAGATACCATTTCACCCCAGTAGCAGTATCAAAGTTTACTAGGGCAGGAAGCAATAAATGTTGGAGAGGACGTGGTGAGGTGGGACCTCTCATACACTGTTGGTGGGATTCTAAAATGGTACAACCACTCTGGAAGATAGTTTGGCATTTCCTCAAAAAGTTGAACATAGAAACTCCATATGACCCAGCTCTCCCACTACTAGGAATATACCACAAGGAAATTAGAACTGAGCACAAACGGAGATTTGTACACAAATGTTCATAGCAACATTATTCACTATCGCAAGAACATGGCAACAGCCCAAATGTCCAACCACAACCATATGGATTGAGAAATTGTGGTACATTCACACAATGGAAACTATGCAGTATTCAGGAGTAACAATTTCAAAAAATACTACGTTACTTGGGATAGGCTAGAGAGCATTATGCTGAGTGAACTAATGCAGTCTCATGAGGAGAAATACTGCATAAGACTATTACTATAAAAATAGAAGGATAACTAGTAAAACATGTATGGGAATTCAAGGAGGGCTAGAGTGGGAGTGGAGGGGTGAGGATAAGTAAGGTCAAAACCACAAGGCTGCAGTCTGATGGGTGGATGGCGGGGGGTAAGGAAAGGAGAAGGATCCAGGTGAAAAGACAGGGTAATGATGGGCTAGGTCCAATGGTGATTAATTTTCTAAAACATAATGCATGAGGATGTTTGCATGAGACACAATGTGAATGAAGAATATTGTGAAACATAATGTATAAGAACAACAATTAATTTGTAAGCAACCCAATTTAAAAAAGTTTTCAAAACCCCAACGTCCACTTGATCCAGGCCATCGCATTTTTAATTGTTTTCTAGGGATCTGAAAGTTGGGCAATGAAGAAGGAAAACCAAAGAATAATAGATGCCTTTGAGGGGGGTAAGCAGTACTGAGTAACAAATGGATTGCCAAAAGAATGAACAAATCTGTCTTGGAGGAAGTGTAGTCTTCTTCCTTAGAGGCAAGGATGATGAAACTTCATCTCATGTAATTTGGCCATGCTGTCAGAAGGGGCCAGTCCTTGGAAAAGGACATCATGCTGGGAAGATGGGTTGTTGACACAGTGACTGTAATAAGGGGCTTGAACATATCACAGATCTAAGAGGATGGCTCAAACTGAGCAAGATTCAAATCTGTTGTTCAGAGTCAGAACGTTAATAATATCTTCTGACCTTAAAACTCTTTCTTAGCGTTCCCTGCTCTGATGTAAATGCATCTTTCTCTGGTTATTTTTACTGTTATGACTGTGGCTCAAATTCACCTTAAGACTCCCTTAAAGAGCCTTAGCTCCAGGGACCTCTACTCCACTGGAGCTTCTGCTCCCACTCTGCTCTCCAGTTAGCCTCAGCACCCTTTCCTACTCCAACTAAAGACTTCTTAAACAATGGAGATGCCATCCACCCAACCAAAAACCCTTCCCTGGGAGATGTCTATGACCTACTACCACCAACAGCATGCTCACATTTCCCTATATTCCAATCACTCCTTCTAGACAACTTCTTAAATTACGTGTTTCAGCCAGAGAAACGTGCGCACGCCAAGGATATGAACGTGCGTCACGGAGACGTGTATACGGGGGTGGGGAGAGGGAAGACCTGCGCAAACCGGGGTACGTGCGCGCATGCGCACACAGGCAGCATGCGCCTGCGCACACGGAGGAGCCCTATGCATCTTAGCTGTTCAGGTTGTCAGTCTGCTCTAATCTTAAAGTAATGTGGTCTCGCACCTTCTGTGTTAGCACGCCGGACTGGCGTAGCCGCTCCTCGGCGCTTATGGCCCGTAACCGCTGCTTCAACTCGGCCCGCAAGCTCTGCTTGGCATTTCTCACAGCAGCTGCCGCCATCTCACACTGAAGTGCTGCCTGGTCCTGCCCTCTGTGTCTTCGGGATCAGCCCCTACCCCTGTCTGTACACTACTGGACCGGCCAACCTAAGGGTGGGTCTACATTAAACGAGGTGTGCCCCCTTTTCCTAGTAGCCCTCAGCGCGCCACGCCCCGGCACGCCCCCCGACCTTAGGACCGGTCCACAGTGTTTCATGACCACGGAGCAATCTAAACCCGCCCCTTCCGCGGCTACTGAAAGCTATCAGGGCTGTGCTCATTGGCCTACCTCTAGGGGTAGGTCTGTAATCTTGGGCAACGCGCTTACTCTGTCTGAATTCCAGTTTCCTCCTTTAGACCACTAGTAGTGGAAAGTGTACGGAGCCCTGATGGTCTAGGAGCAAGAAGCATGAAGACAAGCGGTTCAAGTCCACAGCTTCTCTGCAGGAGAAAGATGGACAATCTCCTCCCGTGCAAAAAATTGCCTCTGAAAACCCGCTAGAGGGTCAGCTATGTTTCCCCGAAAAAAATAATTTTCTTTGCTAGTAGTTGGCAGTATTATGATAGATGGGGAAGAGATTGAGATTGGTAACAGCTTTAGTTTGCTGGCTCCACAATCAGCACTCTTGGTACCAGCAGTCAGGAAATCAAAAGACTAATTGCTTTGGGAAAATCAGCTGTCAGGGACCTCTTCAGAGTATTGAAGAGCAACGACATCAGTCTGGACACTAAGATGCATTGGAACCAGGTCATAGTCTTCGCAATTGCTTGCTATGCGCCAGAAGGCTGGACAATGAATGACTAAGGATGGTAGAGATGCCTTTGAGCTGTGGTGCTGGAGAAGAGTGTTGAATATACCATGGAATGCTAGGAGAACAGTTTTGTCCTAGAGAGCGTGAAACCAGGCTGCTCCTTGGAGTCAAGGATTCTGAAGCTTCGTCTGACGTATTTTTGGGCATGTTGCAAGGAGGGACCAGTCCTTGGAGAGGGATATAATGCTTGTAAGGGTGGAGGGGCAAAAAAAGTGAGGAAAACCATAGATGAGATGGATTGATTCAGTGTCAGGGGTAATGGGGGTAGGTGTGTCAGAGACAGTAAAGTTAGCACAAGATAGAGCAGGTTTCAGGGCTATTGTACATAAGGTCACTATGAGTCGCAAGCAGATGGACGGCACATTAACAACAACAGTGGATGAGAGGGCAGTGATGGACAGAACTGGTCGTTAGTGCAGTGAATGTTTTTCCCTTGCTGAATTGGGATGCATCATCTGTTTACCTCTGGATAACATGGAACTCAAAATTATTTGCCCTGTACATTACAGACAAGGAATAACTGGAACTTGCGTTAACTGGTTACTTGAGAAACAAGAATGAGAATGTGTAGACACTAGGCATTCCTTTCGCTTGCCAGGCCGATGATCTGTATTGAGAGGAGAGACTCGTCACACGGGTATAAGTAAGTGTAGAGAGAGTTCTTGTGCATCAACTTAATTACTCATTGCCACTTACTGATCCGGTGAAAACAGAGTTCATTATTGGGGGGGGGGGGGATCTATTTTAAAATAAGTCCAAGCTGGAATGTTTCTTATCTTTTTCTTTATAATAGTAATTGTTAGGTGGCGTCAAATTGAAATCAACCCATAGTTGATAGAGCAGTCCCTCTTGTGAGTTTTTAGAGGCAATAAAGCTCATGGGAGGAGACTGTCCATCTTTTGATGGAGCAGCTGATGGATTTGAGCCATGTATGTCTTTGAGTTAGCAGCACAGCTTCTTGGCACTAGGCCACCTGAGTTCCTTCATAGTATTCATTACAACTGCACAGTGCCATTATTTTCAATGTTTTATCGAATCCTTGCTCTACCCTCCCTCACCTTTCACCTTTCCCATCATTTGCTAATATCTGCTTCCTCTCCTTCTCCTTCTGTCTCTGTCAACTCTCCAGTTGTTTCAGTCTTTATGTAAACTTCCTTAGTCTTACACACACACACACTCCAGTCAGGTATGCATGTTGTTAATTGTATTACAAACAAAGTTCATTCATTTCAATTGACTTTCCCTTAACCTATATACACTGGAACTTAATATGAAAAAAAATGGGAATGTTTCTGTGGAAATATACTGAATTTTTTGTCCATAAGTCAACTTTACCAAGGTTTGTTTGAAAAACAAACATAAAGACATTGAATACATTGAAACGTACTATAAAGCATCTATAATGAAAACACTATGTCTCTCCAATGCTAAATAGACACGTAGAATAAAAAGGCTAGAAATAGAATCAAATATATATGGAAATTTGGATATGCTAAAAATAGCATCTCAGCTCACTGTGGCAAAGAAGGATTTTTCAATAAACCATGTTGCGACAACTTGGGAGGTAATTTTGTAAGAGATAAAATTAGAACCATACCTCACTTAGTACACAATGAAAAACCCCAAAATGAACTGGGATATCAGTTAGAGAAAGAGAGACAGACTATACAAGTACTAAAAGAAAATAAGTTCATTTTATCACTAGTAGAGAGGGATTTTTTAAAGTACTCAAAATCCATAGGTATTAAAACAGTGATAGACTACATACTTTTTAAAAAATTTTCATGACATAAAAATATATGCATAAGGAAAACAATCAATATAATTCATCACATCAATAAGGCAAAGAACAAGAACCATATGGTCCTATCAATTGATGCAGAAAAAGCCTTTGATAAAATCCAACACCCTTTCATGATTAAAGCACTCAACGAAAT